CAGTTCCACGGCCAGGACGAAAACCACATTGCTCCTCCTCTATCTGAGATTCAACTATCGATCGGACCCTCCTCTCCAGTACCTTGGCGTAGACCTTTCCAGGGAGGCTGAGGAGTGTGATCCCCCTATAGTTGGAACACACCCTCAGGTCACCCTTCTTAAAGATGGGGACCACCACCCCGGTCTGCCACTCCCTAGGAACTGCCCCCGATGACCACGCAATGTTGTAGAGACGTGTCAACCATGACAGCCCTACAACATCCATAGCCTTGAGATACCCAGGACGAACCTCATCCGCCCCCGGGGCTCCGCCGCTGTGTAGTTGTTTGACTACCTCAGCAACTTCTGCCCCCGAGATCGGACAGTCCATCCCCAGGCCTCCCAGCTCTGGTTCCTCCTCGGAATGCGCATTGGTGGGATTGAGGAGCTCCTCAAAGTATTCCTTCCACCGTCCGACTATAGCCTCAGTTGACGTCAGCAGCTCCCCATCCCCACTGTAAACAGTGTGAGCGAGTTGCTGCCTTCCTCTCCTGAGGCGCCGGACAGTTTGCCAGAACCTCTTTGGAGCCGATCGATAGTCTTTCTCCATGGCCTCACCAAACTCCTCCCACGCCCGAGATTTTGCCTCGGCAACTGCCACTGCTGCACCCCGCTTGGCTATCCGGTACCTGTCTGCTGCCTCCGGAGACCCACAGACCAGCCACGCCCTGTAGGCCTCCTTCTTCAGCCTGACGGCTCCCCGAACCTCTGGTGTCCACCAGCGGGTACGGGGGTTGCCACCACGACTGGCACCGGCCACCTTACGACCACAGCTAGCAACAGCCGCCTCGACAATCGCAGAGTGGAACAAGGCCCACTCGGACTCAATGTCCCCCACTGCTCTCGGGACGTGGTCAAAGCTCTGCCGGAGGTGGGAGTTGAAGACCGTCTTGACAGGTTCTTCTGCCAGGCGTTCCCAGCAGACCCTCACTATGCGTTTGGGTCTGCCAGGTCTACGCGGCATGTTCCCTTGCCATCTGATCCAACTCACCACCAGGTGGTGATCAGTTGACAGCTCCGCCCCTCTCTTCACTCGGGTGTCCAAAACATACGGCCGCAGGTCAGATGATACGACTACAAAATCTATCATCGACCTGTGACCTAGGCTGCCCTGGTACCAAGTGTACCGGTGGGCATCCTTATGTTCGAACATGGTGTTCGTTATGGCCAAACTGCGGCTTGCACAGAAGTCCAATAACAAAACACCGCTCGAGTTCTGATCAGGTGGGCCGTTCCTCCCAATCACACCCCTCCAGGTCAAGCTGTCATTGCCCACGTGAGCATTGAAGTCCCCCAGCAGGACAATGGAGTCCCCTGATGGAGCACTATCTAGCACTCGTCCCAGGGACTCCAAAAAGGGTGGGTACTCTGAACTGATATTTGGCCCATAAGCACAAACAACAGTCAGGACCCGTTCCCCGACCCGAAGGCGCAAGGAAGCTACCCTCTTGTCCCCCGGGGTAAACCCCAACACACAGGCAGAGAGTCTCGGGGCTAACAAAAAGCCAACCCCAGCCCTCCGCCTCTCACCCGGAGCAACTCCAGCAAAGTAGAGTGTCCAACCCCTCTCCAGGTCTCGGGTTCCAGAGCCAATGCAATGTGTCGAGGTGAGTCCGACTATATCTAGCCGGTACCGCTCAACCTCTGCCAGAAGCTCCGGCTCCTTCCCCGCCAGCGAGGTGACGTTCCATGTCCCAAAAACTAGTTTTCTTGTCCGGGGATTGGACCGCCAAGGCTCCCGCCTTGGTCTGCCACCCGATTCACATTGCACCGGACCCTTCATGTTCCTCCTGCAGGTGGTGAGTCCACAGTTGGACGAGCCCATGTATCCGGTTCGGGCTGGGCCCGGCCGGGCCCCATGGGCGAAAGCCCGGCCACCAGGCGCTCGCTCACGGGCCCCAACCCCAGGCCTGGCTCCAGGGTGGGACCCCGGTAACCCTCCGGGCCGGGTACTCCGACTCTTCGTTTTCACCGCCATGAAAGATCCTTCGAACCGTTCTTTGTCTCACCCTTCACCTAAGACCAATTTGTCATGGGAGACCCTACCAGGGGCACTAAGTGCCCCAGACAACATAGCTCCTAGGATCATTAGGGCACTCAAACTCCTCCACCACGATAAGGTGACGGTTCAAGGAGAATATATTATTTGTGCAATTGTTGGACAAAATGACTTGCTGTGGCATTAATTGCACTAATAGAGCGTCCAAGGAGTCTTCAGTAAGTAAAATTATATTTATGTATTTTAGGCCACTGCCGAGCTGAGCTTAGATTTTAACATGAACTGTTTAACCATGAAATTTAAATGTAATAGGGTAAAACCCAGTGCATTTAACATAATGCTGTACTTTAGAAAATGGGTTGAAATATAACATGTTGGTGGAGCTGGGTTCCGACTATCGGCTTGTGGAGCTCTCGGGAGACCGATGTTTTCCACCTGGTTCTCCCCTCCCCACAGCTCGGCGCATCGCTGTCTGATCGCGGCTCCTGTCCACTGCGCGGGCTGCCGGCTTGTGGAGCTCTCGGATGGAAACCGATGTTTTGCACCCGGTTCTCCCCAGCGGCAGCTCTGCGCATCTCAGATCGCAGCCAAGGCCGGATTAACCATATGGGCAACTGGGCAATTGCCCAGGGCCCACAAACTCTAAAGGGCCCAGCGCAGCAAGGGCACGAGCAAATTACTGTATCTGTAATCTCCCGCTTTATATTGAACTAGTGTGACCGTACGTCCTGTTTTCCCCAGACATGTCCACTTTTCACTCTGTCCTGGATGTCCGGGTTCTTGTATTGATGAAAATGTCCGGCTTTTCATCCAGGAGCAGGGATGGGGGAGCTGTATATCCTACACATCCAGGGGAGCCGGAAAAAAGTTTTCTACCTATATTACTAAGTTATCATTCATGGACTCTTTTCAGCAGAGAGCGGCAGAGCGATGATCGGTGCGCAGCGCTCCAGGCTGCTGCGTCCAGCGCACGGTCCATTCTCAAAGTGGCGCAACCAAAAAACTATAATTAGCACACGATCGTTCACGTCCGCACATGTTCTCTATTTTCTGTCTTATTTGTGCCTGAAACACTCCGCGGAGCTCATCACCTGTGCTGCGGTGATTTCACCTCACTGACGCATCGAAACACGCTCTCCGCTTTGTGGTCAGGAGACCCCTTTGATCTGCTCAAAAGTAACCGATGAGGTGAAAAAGTAAGAATCCAGGCAGCAGATTTTCTGGAGAGTTTAGAGGAGATGCAGGAAGATGAGAGACAGACAGGACAGGAAAATAGTTAAATAAAAACAAGAAAACAAAACAAAGTGTTGAAAAGTAAAATGTATGTAAATTTATCTCCACTACACGTTTTTACCTGTAAAACAATAAGTTATACACAAGTAATATTTATACATCTGATACAATTCAGATCACCTTCAAAACTCAAGTCACACACCCAGGGCCGTTTCAAGACATTTTGGGGGCCAAGGCAAAACGTGCCAAATGATTACATTTGGAGTCTAATAGAAAGTAAAACCACCATCAATCAAATAAGTGCAGACAGGTATTTTAGTAAAGCCAGAAAACTTTTAAATCCAGAGTTTTGGCTAGCAGCTATGAGCGTAACTGAACTACACATGGACAAGACGTCAAAAACTCTAAACAAAAAATACTTCAATAAACGGGACACACTTTTTTCCTGCAAATACAATTTCACAGGTGTTGCTAATACCTATGATCCTTCAAGGGATGTGCTCAAAGAGGAGTTCAACATTATGAATAAAATATAGTGTTTTATTTTACAAATACCATTATAAACACACACTTATGTCTTAACAAACATTATTTTAACAACGAAACAGCTAAATTCTTTCCAACAGTATAGATGTGTAGTGTATTTTGTCCGAGTCGGTTTGCCGTACTTTGACGTCATCGGCAGTCGAAGGACCCCGAGCCGATCTTGCACCCGAGCAGATCTTGTACCAACACGCCAAGGAAGTTCATTTTAAAACTATAAACAGTATTTATCCTTGCAAAGATTTCTTGCAATCTAAATTTAATATTGGAGAGAACGATTGTGCCTTTTGCACTTCTAATATAGAAACTGAGATACATTTATTTTTCACATGCATCTTTACCAAAATTTTCTGGGATAGTTTTCACTCGTGGTTAACGCATAATAATTTCATTATACGCTCCTTATCTTTTTCTGACATCAAGTATGGTATTAGTTTGGAAAATAAAATGCAGCAATTCACTGTCAATAATTTGATTATTTTTGCCAAATTCTTTATACACAAATGTAAATTTGGCAATATCAAACCAATCTTTATTGTTTTTTTTGAAAGAACTTGCATCCTTTATGGATTCTCTTAAATTATGTAGTTCCAAGAAAGCCATTTGGCTCTATAACAATTTGGTGAATGTTTCCTTTACCCCTAATAATGTTGTTTGATGTAATATATATATATATATATATATATATATATATATTTGGTTATGATTTCTGCAGGTTGATATTGAGCTAGATTAATATTATTGTTTCTGTTTTTACACCTGCTTTTTTTGTCATGCTCAGAATTCAATTGTAAATATTGATTCTTATGTAAGCCTGTAAGCTTCATTGGTTAAATAAAACTTGTTAAAAAAAACGACACCGGTAGTGCGTCCATGGGCGTGACCCTTGTAGGCTGATTTAAAATACGGTCAAATCCTTTGACTCATATGTGAAGGAGATTCTCTGGAAAACATAAATGACTTCAGTAGAAGAGAGAAGAGAACGTTGCAATGATGTTTGCTCAGTCTGGGTGTGGAAACTTCCTTTTTGAAGTTTTAGACGAAACGAGCTTCAGGGTGTGGACCCTCACCTTTGTGTGGCAGGTCTAATTAAAAAACAAAGCCTGAAGTAACATTACAGTTTGACTTACATGCAGACTGATACCAGATTAGCTTAAAAGTCTCAGTGGTCAGACGGAGGCCTTACCTTGACACACCACTCAGTGTCCACTTCCCTCTTCATTACCTGAACCACGCAGGTGTTTTCAGGAAGAACAAAGGGCAAAAGGATAAGAAGACATCACAGCAGCACTTCAAGCTCCAGGTAATGGTTTGATTTAAAAATCACAGGTGGGTTTATTCCCGCTGCTTTTCAGCAGGTAAAAATGTAGTTTACAGGAACTTTGTAGAAATTCCAGTCGTAAAGAAACCTCCTCCCTTCTGCTGGTGGAAGGGTTTCCCCCGGGTCCTAGTGCTGGTCGGGTTCACTTCCGCTGGAGGTTAAACGGGAACACGCCCACAAACACGATGACGAATGGTCGAGAAAACGCACACTAATCTCGTCTTTATGGTCCAACGATTCATTTTACAAGGGAATATACATATAGGACTATTTACACAATGTATAAAAAAATTGAGAAAACTATTTAGGCTAAATCTCTATTACGCAAACAACAACTATGGCCCGTTGCATTGGCAAGCATTGAATCCAAGGTTATGGAAAAAGTGCTACTAAGTAGGCTAGATTTTATCTACTCTACTGATAATCAGTTTGGGTTCAAGTCTAAGCTTAGCACAGATTTGTGCGTATTTGCTTTAAAAGAAATAGGAAGTTTCAAAGAGGCAACTCCTCTGTGTTATTATCCTTTACTGATGTGTCTAAAGTCTTTGACTGTGTAAATCATCTGAAACTGTTCGTTAAAATGCGACAACAAGGGGTTCCTAAGTACATTCTGAGAATCCTAGTCTACTGGTATGCTAATCAGGATATGCAGGTGAGATGGGGTAGTAGTAGATCTTCTGCTCCTTTTGGTGCTACTAATGGAGCAAAGCAAGGCGGGGTACTCTCTCCTGTGCTTTTCAACTTGTACATGGATGAACTGTCACAGCAGTTAAATAATTGCAGAACTGGTTGTATGATTGGATCAACCCCAGTCAACCATCTTATGTACGCTGACGATCTTGTCGTCCTGAGTCATAGTAGTGCAGGATTACAGGAACTGCTAGATATTTGATCAAAGTATGGGGTGGATTTTGACATCAGTTACAATTCTAGTATGAGTGTCATCATGACCTGTAGAACAAAAGAAGATAAATGGTTACAGTTTCCCCAATTTTAATTATGTGGTAATGTTTTGTCTGTGACGGACAAATATAAATATTTGGGGCACTTTATTAATGACTTGGCCAATGATGATGGGCAATGTCGTAGAATGTATGCACAGGCCAATATGTTAGTGCGTAGGTTTAGTGTGTGCACTAATGCAGTTAAAAAGACACTCTTTAAAGTATACTGTACTCAATTATATACAGCTCATTTGTGGTCTTCCTATAAGCAAACAAGTATTATCAGGCGTCTTAATGTAGCATATAATGATTGTCTGAGAGTATTACTAAAGAGGCCTCGTTGGGAAGGTGCGAGTTGCTTGTTTGACTCTTTTAGGATCAATACATTCCATGCTATGTTGAGGAACTTGATGTTTAAATTTATTTGTCGAGTTAATCAATGTGAAAATGTTACTATTAAGTGCTTGGTTAATGTTGACTGTAGTACCACACGTTATCAGTCTGAATCATGGCATTATTGGTATAGGTGTTTACACTGACTTCCTTGTATTTTTGTCTTTTCTTGTGTAGTTTTTTTATCTTATGTTTGTTTTTATTGTCTCTGGACCTTGAGCCTGTTAATAAAAGTTGATTGATTGAATCACACGCTGAAAAAAATTGAGATAGGTTATCTCTCTCTCTCTTGCTCTCAAAGCTTAAAATGCACAGTAAACTTTAATAGTGAAAGTAAATGCATTTCTGAGCATCAGTAATAGAAATCAGCATTCATATGGCCTTACAAGAACAATTATTCGATCACATAATACTAATATAAAATACTAAAAGTCTACAGCTGCACAATCTAATAGGTTAGAATGTTTGGAGGGTAAAGCTCCTTAATCAATTTTTGTAAAAGCTTTATCCTAATAGTATTCATAGATTATAGAAACATTTCCTGCGGCACCATGGCCTCATTTTTTACAGGTGAATGTCCAAAATGTGAGAAGTATCTGAGCCGCTTTATGGTGTTGGCAAAGATGCTGCACAACGGTTTTATTTGAAGAATCATAAAAGCTTCTAAACTTAGACAATCATTTACCAGGTCTCTGCTGAAATAAAGGTGCCGATGTTCACAGACTAAAATAAAGATGAAATCAGTGCAGATTTGAAGTTGATATTTTGGCAGCAATGTTCACATGTGCAACAATCATATTTGTTTTAGTTCCATTCATTCAGAGATGTGAATAGGACCGTCGTGCTGAGACTGTTACTCTCACCGTAACGGGGAGACCATTAGTGTCTCTTTGTTGTTGATTCCTCTTGGCACACAAAGCTGTACAGTTTACATGTGTATGCATGGCTGTGGGGGGTCATGGTGGATGGTATAAGCATCCTCAGTTATCTGCAGGGGTGGTGATGAGGGTTTTACTGGAAGACAAGATGAATGGATCACCTCAAGGACCTGCCTCTCATTGTTCATTTTGAAGAGCCGTTCAAAAGATTTGATTCGTTGGTGAACGTCATCACTATTATCCACTTATTCTTCAGAGGAGTCACAGAACACTGGTGTCTAAAGTCTAATTTACACTTCTCTGCCAGCTCTGCGAGGGAGAGGCATGGACGCAGACATTTTACAATGACTTCCACCATCTGCCACTCCTTGGCTCCGCCCCTGGTTACATCCTCATGTCAGGAGTCTCTGAGTAGCAATGACATTTAACCTCAAATTGTTCTGCTTTTATCCCATTAATAAAAACCTATGTTTAAGCAGTCTGATGTAACACTGACCCTTTCTTTTGAACCTAATTTCAGATTTAGGAACAGAAAGTGCTCATGACCCTTGCCCCCTCTAAAAGGTTACTTTCATTTATTTGTAAAATAAGCTTTTGACAGGAAATTCCTGGTGTTGCAACCAGATCCTGGTTCACTAACAGGAGGAAAATCCAGTTTCAGCTTTATATTCAGAGTCGTTAAGGATTATCTAACAATCATAAATGATGCTCTCGAGTATTTTTTTTATATGAAGTTTGCAAAAACTTTTATTCACTCATAAATTGGGATGACCAAAGTAAAAAAAAAAACTCTCAAAATACGGAGATTTATACAATCACGTTTGTAACGCTTATAAAGAAAAAAAGAGGATTGGATCACGTTTGTTTTTATTTTCAGTTTAACACAAATTTTTATGCATTTTCCTTAAAAACAACATGTACAAGCTGAAGCTGTAACCCCACCTTTAACGTACACACATCAGTGAAAGTGAGTTCCTGTTATTAATATCTATGTATTTTTCTCCTCTTCTACTGGTTCGAACAGGTCCGATCTTCCTGGTTCAGCTCTGAGGAAGACGCCCAGAGGGACACGGCCACCAAACTGGTTTCATCCAGTGAGTGAAGGCTTCAGTTTTCACAGAGTGACTCAGTCAGTTGACGTATTTGATATGTTTCATGCTCAGGAACAACAAGCATTCTTCTCTTCTTGTTTTTACAGTTGAGCCGTATAAAACAAAAACTGTACATTACACACACACAAAGTTCCCCAGTCGGTTTCCTGATACAAAAGCTGTGCGGCAATTATTAAAACATATAAAGAACATTCAGTTTTAGACGTTTTATCCTTCACACCTCAGTATTTAGTTGTTTTTCTACACATTAAAGAGGATATTACTTAATTATACTTTACATTTCAGTAAAAAAAAACAGTAGTTAGCTTTAATTCACAATTTCTTCATTTTTATATATTTAAAACATTTCTAAGAATAAATTAATTTAACTCTTAAAATATTTATCGGGCATAATTTTACACATGAATTGATGTCGGTTTAATTCCTAAATTTTAGTCATTCTGTACAGAAATATCTATTTTTTTCATCCTGGATGTAGATGCACACAAATAGTTATGGGTCTGTTGCTGCGGTCTTCTGACTCAGATTGTCCTAAATGAGAATATGTTCTCAATCCCCTTGTCCGGTTAAGTAAAATAAAACAAAAAGTCCTACCTGTTTTCATGGTGTCCAGTTTGATTTATCTGGTGGATGTTTGATATTTCGGGGCTTTTTCAAAAACCTTTCCTGCTCTCTGGCAATTTAAAAATGTATTAGAACTATTTTAATTTCTGCATTTGAGTTTCCTTTATACTTGTATTTTTCTACATTTAAAAAACTTCAGTTGAATCTTTGCATTATTTTAAAACCTAATAAGTGACAAAAATATTTTACTTTTTAAAAACTTTACAGTTAACCCTCTCACTGTCTTTATAGGTGACCCCGTGAGGAAAGTTGGCCATTGAGCAGCATTGATGGTTTATCCCTTGTGGTCCATGTGGCAGGGGTGAGGTGGTGCTCACTCCTCACCCCTGCCACGTGGACCCAAGGGATAAACCATCAATGCTGCTCAATTGCCAACTTTCCTCGTGGGGTCACACCCATTAGGACAGTGGGAGGGTTAAAAATGATTAAATCTATTTTCTAATAATTTCATTGTTAAAACTTGGTTTAAATTACTTGTGTTTTAGGCAACTAAAACACACTAACCTTTTCTTTTAACATCCTGTGTAAGTTTTTGAGTTACGCATGTTTGAAGAGTAGGACGCTGACCCTATCTGCTGTAAAAGCATCCAGTCTGCTTAACATGTGCAGGAAACTCCGTAAACCAGCATGTTTACTAGTTTTAGATAAGGCATCAACAAAGCTCTAAATACAGTATTTTATTCTGTTCATAAACAATCTTCCCTAAAATGTAAGTGCAAAACTCAGTCGTAACTTTTCATTTAATTTAACAACAACATTATCCTCTAACATATTTAGAGCAGCTACATCAGGCCTTATTGTTGGTCCTAAACACTAAATCAGCCTTAAGGAAAACATCCAGCAGTAAACAGCTGCAATAATAAAATATAATAATATTAATGGAGATCTCCATGCCCAGTTCACACGTTGGTGATTTCCACGCTCTTGAACGTGTGCACGGGGCTTCCTTTGGCACGAGGGATGGCCTGGACTCGGGCCTCTCGAGGTAAAGATCCACAGCTGCTGTGGAGCCCCAGAACGCGCTCCACTGAGTGGCTGTTTGCTCGTAACTTTAGAGGGCTCTGGGGGAAAATAAATAAATAATAAGATAATGTCTCAATTTAAATTCGAAATTAAATTTCACTTAAACATCATTCAGATTTCTATAATAAAGCTGTCCAAGGTGGTTTATTTATCTTCATAATTATAAACACAATCCCAATGCAGGGTTACAGTGATGAGGACTTTTTACCTTTCCTAATCTTCTGATGGAAACTCGCTCATCAGCAAAGCGGCTACCAGCCATAGGCGAAGCGTCAGCACTCCGCTCTGCATTACTGTAAACACAAATCATTCAAATGCATTATTTATCTCTAAATCTGACAACATGTAATAAAAACCTTTTTTAATTTTGTACCGGAGAGGATGCAATATTGCTAAAACAATAAAATTTTTTGTTTTTTATTAACAACAAAAACAGAAAAAGGTCAGAGAGGTTTTGATCCACCTGAATGGGACAGAGAGTAACTTAATTTCCTCAAACAGATGTCTCTGCAGCATGTGTTTGTTGCTGGGGATCCCCAGAGCTTTAGCGAAGGCCTCGGTGTCGAAGGACTGGTCCAGAGCAATCACCGCCCCGTGGATCCCTTTACCCTGAAGATTGTCAGAAAACTCCTGCAGAGAAAAACAGAGAACCTGATCAGTAAACACTGCGGCCAAGAAAAAGAAACATCTATGAATTACCATAAAACAAACCCAAAAAGAAAGTCTTATGATTTGTGCTCCAAAAACAGTGCAAAGAGAACCATCATAATAACTGACTGGATGACCCACCTCTAGGTCTATGTCTCGGATCCATTTCATCACTCGGTGACACGTCCAAACGATCGGGTCCCAGTTCTGGTTCTCACATTTTGTCCGCCGTGTCTGCAGGGCCTAAAAATAAGATAGAGACTTTTAAAGATAATTACACGAAAAAAAACAAACTCAGAACTACTCAATTTGTATTTTTACTGAAAATTGGACTAAGTTAACATCTGACTTGCTCCTTTGAGCCCCTTTCTAAACCCAGCTCTGGTTTTGACATAGTTCCATCGAGAATAAACCAGATACTAGAATGTTTTATCACCACTAATAACAAGACTGAAGGAGTTCCGCTATGTTGTGGAGTTACTAATGCTAATGATTAGCTTCCACTTGCCAGATGTTCTCTGCTGTTTCCAGGACACTAAAACAACAACAACCTTCCCTGTCCCGAGTCAAGATGGGTGAGTACATGAACGTTAATTCAATTCAATTCAAAGATACTTTATTAATCCCAGAGGGAAATTAGAGTTTCAGTACACACAATTCTGAGATCAGACATACATAGACATAGACACATGACAAGAATTGGTGACTGTGGTCATTCGCAACCTGAGTCGCGCTACCTTAATAGAGATCAGAGGGTTACATGAGGATTGGGTCAGGTGGAGGAAAAAAAAGGCACTTCAGAGTTACCCTCCACAGCGAGGGCAGCTTTGCTATGCAAAAAACACCTCAGACAGAAATGCAACAGACTTCAGACATTATACAACATAAGTGTCCACTAGGTGGGGAGGTGGGTTTGGGACTCTTCACACGTCAGTGAATGCAGCCGCAATAAGCAGCGCTAGTCACCTCAGTCTGGACAGGGGGAGGAGTTCGTTGGGTTTAGAGGGCACAGTGACTCCTGGAAACGATTCAGCGGCCTTCACAGCTCGCAGTCCCTCCCAGGCTGGGATAGGGAGACAGAGTTGCCATGGCGACGGCAGCATTCCACATTTCTTGGGGTGGTGGTGGTGTGGGTGGTGGTGGTGGTGGTGGGGGGGGGGGTATTCATTTCAGCCTGACAGGCTCAAGGGCACCAGATTCAGATAAGAAATTGTTTTGGGGCCAGACAGAGATAATTTCTTCTCTGTCTTAAAGTTCCGTTGGTTCTCAACCTCTCAAAATCCAATAATGGCGTAAATTAATCTATCCCAATCCGTGCTGATTCGTCCACTCGCTCCTTGATCGCATCCATCTTTTGTGCCAAAGCATGAATCTCAGCCAAAGTTCCAAGCTTACAACTCATCTCGACAATTATATGAGTTTGTGCATTCACAGCGCGGTGTAATCCATCCCTGAGCTCAGGGAAAGAGCCAATATTCCTCGACAGCTTGTTAATTTTCCTGTAAGCCAGGTAACCTCCCAGGCCGAAAAGCAGTAAACCTGACACCAACACCACGAATATCCATACGTCTTCAGAATCCTCTACAGACAGTTGAGTTAAGCAGATCCAAGCAAATCCAGGAGTCCATAATAATAATAATAATAATAATAATAATAATAATAATAATACATCTTTTTTAAAAGCGCCTTTCAGAACACCCACGGTCACTTAACAGAAAATAACATTCAGAAAATACATTAAAACAGCAATAAAACAACAATAAAACGTAGAGAAGAAAAAACAAAGAGAGAAACAGTTCAATAAAATCAGAGGTCATAGGCAGATTTAAACATGTGTGTTTTGAGTCTGGTTTTGAAAAGGGTGAAACTGTCTATGTTCCTGATGTCTGGGTGGAGTGAGTTCCAGAGACGGGGAGCAGAGCGGCTGAAAGCTCTGCTCCCCATGGCAGTGAGACGGGCAGAAGGAACAGCAAGATGGATGGAGGAAGAAGATCTGAGAGAACGGGAGGGGGTGTTAACACTTATAAGGTCTGAGATATATGGAGGAGAGAGGTTATGGATGGCTTTGAAGGTATGGAGGAGAATTTTGAAGATGGACCTGAATTTAACTGGGAGCCAGTGAAGCTGCTGAAGAACTGGGGTGATGTGGTGAAAGAAAGGGGTTCTGGTGATAATACAGGCTGCTGAATTCTGGACCAGTTGCAGTTTATGAAGGAGTTTGTTGGGGAGACCATAAAGAAGTGAATTGCAATAATTGAGGCAGGAGGTGACGAGGCTGTGGACAAGAATGGCGGCAGTGTGAGGGGTAAGGGTGGGGCGGAGACGGTTTATGGAATGAAGATGGAAATATGCTGACCGAATGATGTTATTAATGTGAGCTTAAAAAGAAAGTGAGCTGTCAAGGATGACATCCAGACTCTTGACCTGAGGGGAGGGGAAGACTGTGGCGCTGTCAATAGTTAAAGAAAAGCTGTCAGATTTGGAGATGGTGGATTTGGTACTAACAAGAAGAAGTTCAGTTTTATAGCCGTTGAGTTTGAGGAAATTAAAGGTGAACCAGGATTTGATTTCTGAGAGGCAGAGGGTAAGGGAGGATGGTGGGAGAGTTGAGTTGGGTTTACTGGAAATGTAGAGCTGGGTGTCATCTGCGAAGCAGTGAAACTGGATATTCAATTTGCAGAAGATATTGCTGATAGGGAGGAGATAGACTATGAAGAGGAGGGGCCCAGGACAGAGCCCTGGGGCACGCCTGACTTGACTGGGGAGGGTTTGAGGGAAAGGATTTTAACTGGATGAACCGAGTGCGGCCAGTAAGGTAAGACTGAAACCAGTGGAGGGGGGTGTGAGTGATGCCTAAGGAAGAGAGTCTATTGAGGAGGATGGGAGGAGAAATGGTGTCAAAGGCCACACTCAGATCGAGGAGAATGAGAATGGAGATTAAACCAGAATCAGCAGCAATAAGTAGGTCGTTGGTGATCTTGATGAGGGCTGTTTCTGTGCTGTGGTGGGGATGGAAGCCAGACTGAAATTGTTCATAGAGGTTATGATATGCCCAACTGGATCTGTCCCAGAGGGGCACCCGGGAGCCCCTTCTCCCGTTCTCATAATTGAGAAAATTTTGTCAATCGCGTTGAGAGACCAGCCGACCAGGTCCATTTTTAATAATTTCCAGTTTCCAGAAAAAATGTAGAAGCGCCGTACTTCCAAAGACAGACAAAGAGCCTTGGGGATAAAATAGGGAGGAGAGGAGGAAAAAAGCATCTGCATTCTCCAAGAGCCGTAAGTGACGTAGATCTATCAGGCTTTTCAAATCATAGCGCATCACTGTCTATCTTCTATCAGAAGCTAATGCAAGAGAAAGGTGTAGGAGATTGTTACACCCCAGCCCGGCTAGGAGGTCCAGGAAGGAGGAACACAGATAATATAGGACTACCGGAAAAAATTAAGAGGAGGGTGTGGCCACTTTTTAACAAAAGTATTTAACAGAAAGAGTCCCTCAACAATGGAGGTTGGTGCATAAAACACTAAAGAAACATAGTAGAAGATTTAAGGAATAGAACTATAGGAGGTTGTTGTAAAACACAACACATCTAGAGCCGGTGAGTAAGGCAACCAGTGAAGTGATCACAGAATGGTCACTACAAGAAAGTGAATATCAGCAAGCTGTACCAACACTAACACACTTAACTAAAACCAACAGCAAGCCATAAGCTCTCAAAGGTTACCACAAAGAAGTCTAAAAGTATCCCAGTCCCAAAAGTCTCATCAAGTCTCTTAAGATAAAGCTATCCAGGAGCAGTGGAGGACAACAGGCTAAATCTGAGGTGACAAATGCCTGTTTTTAAAGACTGGCTGATCACAGCCTAATATACTCCAGCTGGGATTCTGGCAAGAAGCTTCCTGCTAGAGGGTCGCTCTCCATGGTGCTGAACCTCCAGTTGGGGATCTTAATGACCCTTTGCACGTGATGTCATGCCACTCATGTCACTGCCCCCTTCACCATGATGGACGGCAAAAAGACCGTTTACACCCATAGAAACTCCAGTGAAGGTAGTGAAAACAAGCCCGTTTGTGGCCTTTTATTGCTTTAATTTAGTTGATTTGACAGTAAAATGGTTTTAGCTTGCTGCGTGGTTTGCTGCACTAACAGACAAGGACGTAAACTCAACTCGTTTTTTCTTTTCAATAACTTTGATAGAGACTGATGATGGAGATGAACTGCAGTGATCATCAATCAAGTGGACTAGCAGGCCTCAGATTTGCAGCGAACATATTTTTACCGGGTAAGATTAACGTTAATTTATTTCACCAGGAAGACAGGGACAGGGATAAATGTGATGTGTTATTGATAATCCTGATGGACGGGTATTTCACCACGGAGGCTGCGCTCCATCCACTGTAGTGTAAAGCGAGACAATTATTAACAATATTAAAGCTCCGATATATGATTACGTGTGTTAAAATTACGTTATTTATTTATATGAGCACCTGCGTTCAGAGATCTTCTCATTCCGGTGTGAGAGCAGCAGCTGAACTCGGTAAAACCATCAGCAACAGAAGCTGGTAGAGATCCAGACTTTTTAAATATCAGCTTTGGTGTAAAGTGAAACGCTTTTTATAACATAAAGTTATAAATCCAGACGGGTGAAATTAGGCAAAGTCAGCAACATGTTTACATCGGTGAACAGCTACAGAGAGAATGTAAGCTAGCGCTGGTAAGCTAGTTAACATTCCGCTCTCTGAGCCCCCGCTAGATGCGCTACTTCTTCTGATAACTGAACTGGGCATGAACTAGTTGAAGGAATGCTGGAGGAGTTTTGTTTTTGTTTTGATCGCAAAAACAATTTCAGGCTCTACTTTTCCCTTTGTAATTGTGTCGCTCACTGTTTACATGCTTTTGCCGTCCACCATGGTGGATCCACGTGATTAGATGACCTCGGTGCAAAGGGTCGATAGGTAGCCTCTGCTGGGGTGGGGCGCTCTCCGTGGTGCTGAACCAGCAGGAAACCACCCTGAAATGGCCTAGTGGGCTGCTGGACTTCTCATAAGGGGACCGCAACTCACAGGGCTCGTAACAGAGACCATTTTCATGTTCAGCCTGCATGAAAAACTCAGAGTGGTCTATTCTAACCAGAAATAATCATTAAAAATGTTTTTTCAGTGTTCCACACCTTTTAACACTTTTCCTGCTGCCTTTAAAGGGGCGGTGGTGAGACCCCTGTTGAAGAAGATCAATTTAGATTTTGATGATTTAAACAATTTTTGACCGGTATTTAACTTACCATTCCTAAACAAAAGTCTAGAGAAGCTTGTTTTAATCCAACTTAATGATTTTATTGACTCATGCAATGTCCTAGATAAATTTCAGTCTGGTTTAAGGGTGAATCACAGCACTGAGACGGCCCTTCTGAACATTTTAAATGATTTTAGAGTAACCTATGATGCCAGAAGGGTGACTGTGTTTGTTCTACTGGATCTAAGCGCTGCCTTTGATACAGTAGACCACACTATTCTTTTAACCCATTTAAAACAGATCAGCCTCTCTGGTGCTGCCCACAGATGGTTCACATCCTATGTCACAGACAGGATGTTTATGTTAAGTTTTAATACCTGTTCGTTGAGGGATTACATGTGGTGTGCCCCAGGGTTCAATTTTAGTCCCAGTACTTTTTAACCTTTACATACTCCCTCTTGGCGGGGTCATCAGGAGATATGAGGTGAATTTCCACAGTTACGCTGATGATACACAGTTGTACATCTCTGTCTCCTGGTGACAAATGAAAATGGATGCACTTTTTAACTGCATTTTAGACATCAAATCTTGGATGGTAGAAAATTTTCTCTAGCTCAGCCAGGACAAAACTGGAGTTTCAGTCATCGGTCCTGAGGCCCAGAGAATTTTTTTTAACCAAAACTACAATCAATGTCTTTTAATCCTTCCTTACAAGTCAAGAACCTGGGCATGATTTTCGACTCTGAGCTGACTTTTATCCCACACATAAGAAACATTACTAAAATAGGTTTTAATCATCTAAAGCACATCACCAGAGTAGGTTTTTAATCATCTAAAGCACATCACCAGAGTCTGCCCCATTCTCTCTCAGGCCAATACGGAGACACTGATGCATGCTTTTATCACCAGTAGAATTGACTACTGTAATGCCCTGCTTTCTGGTCTTCCCAAAAAGAGCATTTCAGGCTTATAACTTTTACAAAATTCTGCAGCACGTGTCCTGATGAAGACCAGGATGCGGGAGCACATTACACCGGTTTTAGAATCGCTTCATTGGCTCCTCGTATGTTCCAGGATCGATTTTAAGGTTATCTTAATGGTTTTTTAAGTGTCTTAATGGTCTTGGGCATTCTTTTCTTTTGGAACTGCTTTTACCTTACAAACCCTCGCGGCCTCTGTGCTCCTCTGACAGCCGTCTCCTTATGATTCCAAAAGTCAGGACACATACCCATGGCGAGGCGTCATTCAAATTTTATGGCCCTCGTCTCTGGAACAGGCTGCCAGAGGACCTCAGGGTCATAGAGAATGTTCATGTTTTTAAAATCAGGTGCAAGACTCGCCTTTTTAGCTTAGCTTTTAACTGATATCTGTTTTTAGCTGCATTTCCTGTTTTATTAATTTAATGATTTCCATTTTAGTGGTGTCAGTCATTTGTTTTAATGTTTTACTATCTCGTCAATCAGTTTTTATTAGTTATTTCACTGTCCACATTAGCTATTATTATGAATATTAATATTATAACTTGATTGATTTATTAATTTTGATTTTACTTATTTTAAACATACCAGTGTTTCCTCTGTGGGGCCCTCTGCCTCGGGGGTGGTGGTTGACTCTGGCAGTCTCGGCACTCTTAGGGGTGTGCTTAGGCGGTGGTGGGGATTTCTGCCCTCCCTCCCTGGGCGCCCTGGGTTGGTGCCTTGGCTGCTGCCATCGATCAACTACTGCCGAGGCAGATGGCTCACCTGATGGCATGTCATTTATTACCTAACCCATCTGAACTCAGCCTAGTTTTTGCTTACGCTGTTCTTTAGGTTTTGTGTGTTTGTAAATTTATAAATGGGTTATATGGGGTCATTTTAATCTGTAAAGCACTTTGAGCTGCATTTTCTTTTGAATGAAAAGTGCTATACAAATAAAGTTTGATTGATTGATTGATTGAACTGTTTACACTCTGAGTTTGTGGGGCTTCTGAGTCTGTGAGAGAAAAGCTCAACAATTTGGTTTTATGAATGAATTTCCTAATTTTATGATTTTTTTAAATAAATAATTCCAGCTCTTGGATTAACCATTTTCTGTTCATTTACTGTCCATTTTGTTGAATTTTTGTTGCACACAGACGGTCAACAAATGTAATACAATCTAAAATCTGACCTCCTTGTCAAAGCCTAGCATCTGCAGCAGCTGGATCGCCAGCAGAATGCTGGTTTGGTGGAAGTAGTCGCTGATGTTAAGGAATTTCTCCAGATCCCTGCGGCTGAGCGAGTTCAACACTCGTCCGTCCACTAAGTGGGTCTGGAAGGTTTGGCAGTACTGAGGAAGACCCACGTCACTCAGCCAGGATGTGGAGACCCAGTGGTGGTCCATCTCAGATGCTTTGGAGAGCCTAGAAGGTGATTGGACTCAAGTTAGTGACACGTATGGATATTTTATTGCAAAACTGGAATAAAAGGTGAAAAATCTAACGCTTTTATATTATTATTATTACTACTGATTGTGGATTGAGAATAAAGAGGGAAGTATGTTAAAGTTTCTGATTGTTGTTTAAAGATTTCCATTTGTTTTTGTTCAAATTTTAACATTAGAGTGAAAATTAGAGCTTTTTTTTTGGTAGCCTTGGATTAAAAAGTTCCACTTTCCCCTGGAAGATGGTGAGTTGAGGATCTTACACACCCCTGCTCCCCTTCAGCTCTCCTGTAATCCTCAATGGCCAATCTTATTTTCCTGCGATGAATGGGATTACCGATGCTCAGACCAAGCTCCAAATCCTCATCAGTCAGACCTAGCAGCACCTAAAGAGCAGAGATTCAGTTCTGTCAGAACCAAAAGCTGCACTCAGACCAGCTCATCTACTAAAACAGCTCTTCAGTTTAAAAAAATTAAAAACACCTGGGATACCTTTCCACTTTTGACATTTTCAGAACAGGCTTGGATGTACATGGGCATCCCCATGACGACCTCCATCCAGGCCTGGACGGCCCCTGCCCTCCACAGAGACATGCAGGTGGTTCGAGTGAGCTCCGCCTGCTGCAGACGGTCCAGATGCTCCTCCCCATCAGACATGCTGTGCTGTATGAGGCTGTCAGAGTCTGGATTGGTCAGGAGAGGTTATGGTGCAGCATACAGGAGAGGTTCAGGGTCAGAGGGGTGTGAAGATAAAACAGTGACTCGTCTGCATCCGCCACAGTGCACAGCTAAAGGTTTTATGCTAACATGTCAGTTTCATTTGAACTAAATAAATGCACAAAATGATCTGAAATTACAACATATAGCCACAAGATGGTGCTAGAACGTTTCCTTAAACCAAATGGCAGGATTATATGCTGATGAACTAATGCTCATATTCAGTTGGATATCAACATTTCTAATTTTAAATAAAGCTGTTAAACATGAATAATTATCTCATGATCATGAAAAGACTTCTGTCAGAATGTTTTAGAGACACAGGGATCATTCATAAAACCTCATGCCCAACCTCCTCTCTCAAAGACAGAATTGACGAATCCAGGATGCACTTCTTTTTTATTTTCATTTTTTGCTGATTCGTCTCCACATGCTGGACACAACATGCAAACTCTGTTGCTCCGACAGAGGTCTCAAAGAAACTTTTTATTTATTTTTTTCCCCCAATTGAGCATGAGTGATATGAATAATCCCCAGAGTGCAGGAACAGACAGCTGGTAATCACAGATGAGGAGTTACTCACTGGTAGGTGGGAGCACTGCCATTAGAAATGGCAGGAGGAGAGGGAGAGACACGTTAAGACTGGGAAACAGAACAAAACAAACTTCCACAGAAAAAGGGTTCAGTTTCTAGTTTTATTTTTAAAATAAGATTTCATTTCAGATGGAATTCATTTGGAAATTTCTAAAACCTCTTGAACATTTGGCTGCAACAACTGCAGCAGATAAATATCTGAAGATTTACCTTTTTTTTCTTCTTTTTTAAATAAAATACTTCAATAGATTTCATCTTTTTTTGCAGTATTTCCTAAATTACAAAGCATTTAACACAGTTGCATTTGTGGGGGATGAGGAAGGAGTTTACGCACAAAAAAACAAGAACAAAGTAATAAAGGAGGGCATGCATTCACAGTGCAAGAGATAGGCATGTTAAAAAAGGGGGGTAACACCAGAGCAGGAGGTCGTTGTGGATGGATGAAAACAACATGGAGGGATCATGCATGTGTGGAATGCACAATCCTCAGTCTCAGGTTGGCACATGTTAGCTTAGAAAGCACTACGTGGAAAATGAGTGAGACTTAACCCTCTCGGGCTCAAAATAAGTTTTGATAAAAAGACAAACAACAAAGTCCTTCAGGAGTACTTCTGAGTTAAAAAATACTCAAGGAATACACGTATGTGGAGTAACCAGGTAGGTAGGTTTTAACGTTGCAAATCTGCAATGCCTGCCTCCAGAGGGTCAAACATTGTTACAAGGCCAGAGCTAAAAGGCACTGAAGGAGAAAACTATTTGTCTTTAACTTTTGGCACTTTCAGATGGTCCTTGACTAACTCTCACAGCGCTTTTTGCTTGCGTCTTCAAATCAGGGGAGTTTTATGTCATCTGAAAGGCTGACCCTAAAACTTAGAATTTTGATGTTGCAAAAACACAATAAAACCCCTGCTGCTCACAGTGTTGCATGATGAAATACTTAATTGTAGGGTTGTAGATAAAATTTAAAAATAACCCGAGCTGAAGAGAGGATCAGATTCTCTGAAGAAAAATTCCTAAAATTCCACAATCTTGAAAAAAATATTTTTTTGATGCAGAAAAGTCCTTAATCTGCCAGGAACGAGGTCAAAATGTTCCACGAATAAAGACAATAATTTATGATAACATCTGGAAATTCTTAAATAAAAAAAAAACAATAAAAATGTTTTTAATGATTTATGAAAATAAAACATGGAAAATCTCACATAAACAATATTTTTCTTCATGATTAAAGGCATAATTTTGGTGAATAAAACTAATATTTTGTCAATGCAAGTTGAAGACTGTCAAGAAAAAAGTAAAACCTTTCATGATCGCAGTAATACATTTAAAAGAAAAACCCTTGATTTATATTTAAAGAGACAATGTAATTTTTACAATTAATCTCTGGAAATATCCATTGGAATGTTGTTGAAAATGAATTAAATGAAATCCAGTTATTAAAAAAATATTGGCCGCTTTGTAACATATAACCATAAAAACTGGGTCTAAAATACATGGGAGCAGGTCTAAGGCCCAATCTCAACACTCACACTGCACCCTGCGGTCTTCAGCACAGTGCACTTGGGGAAAGTGCACAGTAAGGTTTTGAGTGCGCGGTACACAAGTGTGCAAATAATTGCAGTCATCGACTGCAATGCATGCCGGGATGTTCGTAGCTGTGCTACTTTAAAAAACCTTTATTAGTAACTTTCAAACAAACAACCCACAAACTATTTAAAATAAATTTACATTCATTGCTGCATGGTCGAACACATTCAGAACATCAATTAATCATCCTAAAATTAATTACTTTCATTTGAAAATACATATTTTCAAATAAGACACGAGCATTTTCAGAAAAGACACGAGCATTTTCTCTCGCAGAAATGGATTCTGGGTAATACCCTTCATCCAAGTCTGCATCAAGTGCAGACTTGGATGAAGTGCAGATCAAGGGTGCAAAAGGGGCGCGACCAACGTCCTCATTTGAGAATCGGGACACCCTATGCACTTGCACCCCTGGCTGGGATCGCGCAATTGAAGGGCGCAAATGTGGAAGTGCGAGTTTTGGGATTGGGCCTAAGTTTCTGGGTGATGCCATGTTTCCTTCTACGGAAGCCCGTGAGGACAAAACGCATTTACTGATTTCTAATAAGCAGCTACAAAACTTTTGCTATTCATACAAGTTGTTGTTTTACACATTTACCACTTTGCTCGTTGCTATTGAAGAGGAACAAAATCCACACACTTCAATCTGCAATAACATAAAATTTACAAATATATATATATATATATATATATATATATATATATATATATATATATATATATATATATTGAATTGCCTTGCTCCCTGATGGCTTTTTTAGCTTGATGCCTGCAATGTATTAATCTCTTCCTTTGGTAAATGATTTTGAAGTGTTTTTATAAGATTCTGTAAGCTTCTTGTGTCAGTGAACTATGTTTTGTAAATGGGACTCCATCCCCCATAATGCTTTGTTGTGTGGAATTAGCACAGGTGTTTTACATCAGCTGTTCTCCTTAACTAGGGACTCTCTGCATGAACATGCACAATTCCTGATGAAGGTCTTTTGACCGAAAGCTTGAGAAGAATAAATATTATGTTATTGCAGATTGAGGTGTGCAGACTTTGTTCCTCTTCATTCAATCTTTTATCCAGCACCTCAACCCAGATGACTGGTGTTTCTTCATCTTTATTGACTCGTTGCTAGTGATGAAAGGGAGTCTAATGTGCTCCCAGGGATTTTTGACCCTAATGGTTGGTAAGGTCTTACTAGAACACTAAAGCGCCGCTTACTTGCAATGATTTAGGCATGTACTGCTCCTTTTCACCAGAGGAAAATACACACGGTCACTTTAAATATTAAAAAATTGTAAATTTTGAAAGAAATGTATAAATCTACAAAAAAAAAATAAAAATAAATAAAAATCTGGGCGTTTTTTTGAGGTTTATGGAGGAAAAAAACTCACTAATTTATGAAAAGTAAAACTTGCAACTAAGACGATCTAAAGTTATATCCTGTTGCTATTTGGATTCAGAACTTTTCTCCTACCTGCAGTTCAGTTGTATTGATTTATTTAACCTACACTGACCCTGATATCCTGTCATACTGTAACGACAAAGGAAAAAAAAACTGCTTCATTAACAATCCTAGACAATCTGATCCAAAAACTCCAATCAGCGTTTCAGGTTTATCAATAATTTCTCATATTTTATAGTGAGAAGGGGTCCAAACAGAAGAAATGCAGATATCAGTGATGTACCTTGATGAAAGCAACTGTAATGTAACAAAAAGCAAAAATAACATTAACATTTAAACACTAGATTCACAATAGCTCCTATGTACATATGAACAGCGGCCCTTCAAGTGTCTAGTTTTATAAAAAACATGAAGACATTTAGAATACAGCATAAACATGTCTACACGTAGATTTAACCCCATATATATATATATTTATATGCATGTAAACATATATACATATGCATACATGTACAACTATAAATATATATCAAATTTACAAACATACAATTTATGAGTGATATAATGTACATTTATGGAGGATAGCAGTCTCTTGTTGTTCTCTGCATTATTTAACACACACACACACACAACCACACACACACACACACACACACACACACACACCCCTAAGCTTCACCAGTCAGCATCCTCCTCTATGTAATAATCAGGAGTGGCTGTACCATCAAACAAGCCGGGGTCCAGTGACTTGCGCTGCTTGCCTCGAGTGAACACGCGTGATAACGATCCCAGAGTCATCTTCTCCTTCTTCTTCTTACGTTTCTGGTCTTCCAGGTCCTCCATGGACTGAGGAGACACGCAGCTCAGGTCAGTGACATGTTTGTAAGATCAACTTTTGTCACAAATTTTGAATAAAAAACTATCTTCTGGACATTATAAAGTTAGAAGATAAGAAAACAGCTGGTTCATTTTGACTAAGAATTTTTTCCACTTTGATAAGTGAGTTTATTTCTGATGATGTTCATCCCAGACCAGTTTAATATTCACATTTTTTTTATAATATTATAAATAAGGTGTGTCTCTAAAAACATGGCCTGGCTGCAGATTTTAAACTAAAACTGTGTCAGTCCTTGTAGGGTCACAACCATGGGTCTCCTACTGCCTAATAAAAGTCCATAGGAGTCGATAAGTTATTTTCTGATCCCGTTTGATATGTGCCACGGATTTAACAAATGCTGACCGGGAATCTTATTAAAGACACTTTTTGATGCCCAACCACTGGGCTGTTGCAGTTGGCATTCGCGATGGTAGTACACCCCTGCTAATGCTACAACCAGCTGAAGCAAAGGTCCTTTGGGGAGTGTATGTCTCCTCCTCTTCCGGTTGGCTCTCGGGCCCTGGCACATCTCTGCTAACACTACAACAGGCTAAAACAGGAGTCTGATGTAGCTTAAGGTTGAACATCACACTAATCACTTAGCTCCAAAAATTATTCACTTTTCATTCCCCTTGGCCTCCTCCTCCACAGCTATAGATATACGTTTACTGACTGACATTAAAGCTACAATATCTCGTCTCGTCTTCCTCCGCTTATCCGGGTCCGGGTCGCGGGGGCAGCATCCCAACTAGGGAGCTCCAGGCCGTCCTCTCCCCGGCCTTGTCCACCAGCTCCTCCGGCAGGACCCCAAGGCGTTCCCGGACCAGATTGGAGATGTAACCTCTCCAGCGTGTCCTGGGTCGACCCGGGGGCCTTCTGCCGGCAGGACATGCCCGAAACACCTCCCCGGGGAGGCGTCCAGGAGGCATCCTGACCAGATGCCCAAACCACCTCAAATGGCTCCTTTCGATCCGGAGGAGCAGCGGTTCTACTCCGAGTCCCTCCCGAATGTCCGAGCTCCTCACCCTATCTCTAAGGCTGAGCCCGGCCACCCTACGTAGGAAACTCATTTCGGCCGCTTGTATCCGCGATCTCGTTCTTTCGGTCATTACCCAAAGCTCATGACCATAGGTGAGGATTGGGACGTAGATCGACCGGTAAATCGAGAGCCTGGCTTTCTGGCTCAGCTCCCTCTTCCCCACGACAGATCGGCTCAGCGTCCGCATCACTGCAGATGCCGAACCAATCCGCCTGTCGATCTCCCGATCCCTCCTACCCTCACTCGTGAACAAGACCCCGAGATACTTAAACTCCTCCACTTGAGGTAGGACCTCTCCCCCGACCCGGAGGTGGCAAGCCACCCTTTTCCGGTCGAGAACCATGGTCTCAGATTTGGAGGTGCTGATCCTCATCCCAGCCGCTTCACATTCGGCCGCGAACCTATCCAGCAAGAGCTGAAGGTCAGAGCTGGATGAAGCTAGGAGGACCACATCATCCGCAAAAAGCAGAGACGAGATTCTCCTGCCACCAAACTCGACACACTCCACACCACGGCTGCGTCTAGAAATTCTGTCCATAAAAGTGATGAACAGAACCGGTGACAAAGGGCAGCCCTGGCGGAGTCCAACCCTCACTGGGAACAGGTCCGACTTACTACCGGCTATGCGGACCAAACTCACGCTCCTCTGGTAAAGGGACTGAATGGCCCTTAACAGAAAGCCACCCACCCCATACTCCTGGAGCGTCCCCCACAGGGTGCCCCTGGGGACACGGTCATAAGCCTTCTCCAAATCCACAAAGCACATGTGGATTGGTTGGGCAAACTCCCATGCCCCCTCCATCACCCTTGCAAGGGTATAGAGCTGGTCCACAGTTCCACGGCCAGGACGAAAACCACATTGCTCCTCCTCTATCTGAGATTCAACTATCGATCGGACCCTCCTCTCCAGTACCTTGGAGTAGACCTTTCCAGGGAGGCTGAGGAGTGTGATCCCCCTATAGTTGGAACACACCCTCAGGTCACCCTTCTTAAAGATGGGGACCACTACCCCGGTCTGCCACTCCCTAGGAACTGCCCCCGATGACCACGCAATGTTGTAGAGACGTGTCAACCATGACAGCCCTACAACATCCATAGCCTTGAGATACCCAGGACGAACCTCATCCGCCCCCGGGGCTCCGCCGCTGTGTAGTTGTTTGACTACCTCAGCAACTTCTGCCCCCGAGATCGGACAGTCCATCCCCAGGCCTCCCAGCTCTGGTTCCTCCTCGGAATGCGCATTGGTGGGATTGAGGAGCTCCTCAAAGTATTCCTTCCACCGTCCGACTATAGCCCCAGTTGACGTCAGCAGCTCCCCATCCCCACTGTAAACAGTGTGAGCGAGTTGCTGCCTTCCTCTCCTGAGGCGCCGGACAGTTTGCCAGAACCTCTTTGGAGCCGATCGATAGTCTTTCTCCATGGCCTCACCAAACTCCTCCCACGCCCGAGATTTTGCCTCGGCAACTGCCACTGCTGCACCCCGCTTGGCTATCCGGTACCTGTCTGCTGCCTCCGGAGACCCACAGACCAGCCACGCCCTGTAGGCCTCCTTCTTCAGCCTGACGGCTCCCCGAACCTCTGGTGTCCACCAGCGGGTACGGGGGTTGCCACCACGACTGGCACCGGCCACCTTACGACCACAGCTAGCAACAGCCGCCTCGACAATCGCAGAGTGGAACAAGGCCCACTCGGACTCAATGTCCCCCACTGCTCTCGGGACGTGGTCAAAGCTCTGCCGGAGGTGGGAGTTGAAGACCGTCTTGACAGGTTCTTCTGCCAGGCGTTCCCAGCAGACCCTCACTATGCGTTTGGGTCTGCCAGGTCTACGCGGCATGTTCCCTTGCCATCTGATCCAACTCACCACCAGGTGGTGATCAGTTGACAGCTCCGCCCCTCTCTTCACTCGGGTGTCCAAAACATACGGCCGCAGGTCAGATGATACGACTACAAAATCTATCATCGACCTGTGACCTAGGCTGCCCTGGTACCAAGTGTACCGGTGGGCATCCTTATGTTCGAACATGGTGTTCGTTATGGCCAAACTGCGGCTTGCACAGAAGTCCAATAACAAAACACCGCTCGAGTTCAGATTAGGTGGGCCGTTCCTCCCAATCACACCCCTACAGGTCAAGCTGTCATTGCCCACGTGAGCATTGAAGTCCCCCAGCAGGACAATGGAGTCCCCTGATGGAGCACTATCTAGCACTCGTCCCAGGGACTCCAAAAAGGGTGGGTACTCTGAACTGATATTTGGCCCATAAGCACAAACAACAGTCAGGACCCGTTCCCCGACCCGAAGGCGCAAGGAAGCTACCCTCTTGTCCCCCGGGGTAAACCCCAACACACAGGCAGAGAGTCTCGGGGCTAACAAAAAGCCAACCCCAGCCCTCCGCCTCTCACCCGGAGCAACTCCAGCAAAGTAGAGTGTCCAACCCCTCTCCAGGTCTCGGGTTCCAGAGCCAATGCAATGTGTCGAGGTGAGTCCGACTATATCTAGCCGGTACCGCTCAACCTCTGCCACAAGCTCCGGCTCCTTCCCCGCCAGCGAGGTGACGTTCCATGTCCCAAAAACTAGTTTTCTTGTCCGTGGATTGGACCGCCAAGGCTCCCGCCTTGGTCTGCCACCCGATTCGCATTGCACCGGACCCTTCATGTTCCTCCTGCGGGTGGTGGGTCCACACAAAGCTACAATATTGCAACTTTAATTCAATCAGTGTTGGGCAAGTTACTTCAAAACTGTAATGCATTATTAGGCCCGAGCAGCGAAAGCGCTGCGAAGGCCTCTTGTTTTTGCTCTGATTATTCTTTTTTTGTTATTCCGTGCCCCCTTTGAACGGCTTTTTGGGGACCTTAACATACCCCAAAACTCACAATATTTTGCACACTTGTCAGGTCTGGTGAAAAATTTGATATTATAAAGGTCGCAAAAAAATCGCAAAGAAATTGGCTGAACAGCGCCCCCTACAAAGTGAAAAAAAAAAACCCTCTCCATAAAGCTTAGTTTATTGTACAGTTATGAAATTTGGTACACTTGTAGTACTCAACAGTCCGCACAGAAAAGTCTCTTGCAAGCATGGTCAATATCAAACAGGAAGTCGGCCATTTTGGGTTGAATTGGCGATTTTTTGCCGTTTTTGCCGTTTTTAGGGTCCGTTTCTGATTGGATTGCTCGATCATTTTTTGCATGATCATCTCAAAAGTGGTGTAAAATTGCTCAGAAGACATGGGCGAACAAAATGAGACAAGGATTCTGAGTTTTCGTATATGATGAAGGGGCGGGGCCAGGCCTCGAAATTTGACTACTCGCCAAAAAAATTTAAATTGCTATAACTTCGTAACTGAAATGAATAGAGTTACCAAACAATCTGTGGTCATTCGTCATCGCCCCACAAAGTAAATTGAAAGGTCGGATGATGACATCACACAAGCCCCGCCCCCTCAGGACCAAAAAGGTCAAGTTTTACTGTGAAAGGTCCCAAATTGCCCCATTTCACTTAATCACCTAGAATTTGCAGCTGGTAACTCAAGACAACTGGGGGTTGCTTGGCGTCACTTTATGGGAGTTTTCGGCAGAGGGCGGGGCTGTGGCGGCGCGGCAAAGTCAGGCGTACCGCCGTGGCCTTACGTTTGCTTCCCATTTCGTCATTTCTAAAGACATCGTCACGAAACTTCTTGTGAGTGATCCTAGTCTGGCCCCGCAAAAGATCTGATGTGAATATCCGGTGGGCGTGGCCTATTTTCTGAAATAGCGCCCCCTAGGACCATTAAAACTGTCAGCCCCAAGCCATGCTTTGACTGAGGATCACGAAATTTGGTACACTAATGTGGTGTCTCAGGACCTACAAAAAAGTCTCTTGGAGCCGAGTGCAAAGTTGCACAGGAAGTCGGCCATTTTGGTCCAAGTGCGCAATTTAGTGGTTTTCGCACACGTTGTTTGGAGAGTGATGCTCCATCGTCCTTTTCACCAATCTCTTTCAAACTTCTGCTATTTACTCTTAAGACAAAGGGGAAAAAATTCAACCGTCGGATTTTTCAAAAGTTGAAAGGTGTGGGCGTGGCTAAGCCTCAAACTTTGACCTGTCGCCACACCACTCTTTTTTTCACAGCTCCCTACTGGACTCCTTTTACCCAATCACCAGGAATCTCTGGCAAATAGCAGTAGACAACTGGAGGTCACTTGGTCTCCAGTACTGGAAGGTTTCAAAAAAAGGCGGGGCTTTGGGAGCATGGCGAAAATCGCCATCACACCATGGAAATACGTTTGCCTCTCATTTCTTCAGTTATCGTGATATCGCTACGGAACTTCTGGTGAGTGATCCTAGTCTGACCCCCAAGAGACATAGACAGCTGAAATATGTGGGCGTGGCCTAATTTCTGAAATAGCGCCCCCTAGGACCATTTAAACTAATAGCCCCAAGCCATGCTTTCACTGAGGATTACGAAATTTGGTACACTAATGTGGTGTCTCAGGACCTACAAAAAAGTCTCTTGGAGCAAGGCGCAAAGTCTTACAGAAAGTCGGCCATTTTGGTCCAAGTGCGCGATTTAGTGGTTTTCGTACACGTTGTTCGGAGAGTGATGCTCCGTCGCCCTTTTCACCAATCTCCTTCAAACTTCTGCTATATATTCTTAAGACATAGGGGAAAAATTCAACCGTCGGATTTTTCAAAAGTTGAAATATGTGGGCGTGGCTAAGTCTCAAACTTTGACCTTTTGCCATGCCACTCTTATTTTCACAGCTCCATAATGGACTCCTTTTACCCAATCACCAGGAATCTCTGGCAAATAGCAGTCGACAACTTGAGATCACTTGGTATCCAGTACTGGTAGGTTTCGAAAAAAGGCGGGGCTTCGGGAGCATGGCGAAAATCGCCATCACGCCATGGAAATACGTTTGCCTCTCATTTCTTCAGTTATCGTGATATTGCTACGAAACTTCTGGTGAGTGATCCTAGTCTGACCCCCAAGAGAAATAGAAAGCTGAAAATTGTGGGCGTGGTCTATTTTTTTACATAGCGCCCCCTAGAGCAATTAAAACTGTCAGCCCCAAGCCATGCTTTGACTTAGGATTACGAAATTTGGTACACTAATGTCGTGTCTCAGGACCTACAAAAAAGTCTCTTGGAGCCAAGTGCAAAGTCGCACAGAAAGTCAGCAATTTTGGTCCAAGTACTCGATTTAGTGGTTTTCGCACACGTTGTTTGGAGAGTGATGCTCCATCGTCCTTTTCGCCAATCTCCTTCAAACTTCTGCTATATACTCTTAAGACATAGGGGGAAAAATTCAACCGTCGGATTTTTCAAAAGTTGAAAGGTGTGGGCGTGGCTAAGCCTCAAACTTTGACCTTTCGCCATTACTTTACTTGACTTAATAACTCCCATGTGCATGATCAGATCTTTTTCGAACTTTGTCTGTGTGATCATTGACCACATCTGTAAACAATGACAATGTGGACAGCTGACATCACCTAAGCCCCGCCCCCTGACTACAGGAGGCCTATTGTTTTATGGTGAATTGCCCATATTTGTCCCCTCTAATTTAGTCAACACGAAACAAAGGTCATGCACTGTCTTCATGATGCTGTATTGACCATTCAGATCTGATAGCTTTCCAGAAAGGGAGGGGCTTTGATGCCATGGCGAATTCTGGCGTAACGCCGTAACCTTACAATTCAATTTAATGGTGAGCTCAGAGGGGATGCTGAGTCAGGGTGAGGTGCGGACGAGGTGACCGTTAGCGGTTTCTGGTGTTGGGGTGGTCGACGTTTCTGTTCCGCGGACATGCCCTGGTGCCCTGGGCTGCCGGCCAGGCCGGAGCGGCGCGGAGCTGCGAGGGCCGAACGACGCTGCTTGCAGCTTTAATTTATTACTTGTTACCCTCATTTTAAAGTAATTCATTACATTACAATATTACTGATTTTAAAATGTAAGGCATTACACTACTTTTGCATTACTTTAAGTTACTTTCACCAAAACAACTTCAATATGAATCTGGTCATGTGACGCTCAGTGAGCTCATGACATATATGTGGAAGGTGATGTGGTGTCTGAGGTAGGATTGCTGTTAAAAACAGTCAGATATAATAACGGTGCTTTAAAATGATTGTTTATTAAATAAAAGCAACAACAATCTGTACTCTCAGCACGCTGCCATCTTATAGGGCCATCTGAGCAGGGAGAGAGGTGGTGGGGGCTCCAAGCCTATATTTGCCTTGGTCCCCAAATGCCTTGATACGGCCCTGGATGTGGGACTGACTTCTGGGGTGATCTGATTCTATCACATGTATAAATATTAAATGCTTATATATTATTGCTTTTCACTGGTAAAATGTGTATTGGGGATAAATCTACCTACTTTTTTCTTTTCAAGCACTTTGTTTTGTTTTCTTGGTTTTATTTGAATAATTTACTGCCCTTTCTCTCTCTAACCTTCCTGCATGCTGCATGTTTTCTCCGTCTTCCAGAAAAACTCTTTCCTAGATTTCCTGCTTTCTAACTAATCAGCCAAAGGGATCTACCATTGTAAATAAATAAATAAATAAAAGCTTAATCTGTGCTGCGCTCCAGCAGCAATGAGATGAAATCACCGGGGCACAGATTATGAACTCAGCTGAAAAGTACATGAAGTACCAGAGAATATGGGCTCATATACAGTAAATGATCACAAATGAATTACTTTGTTTTGGTGGAGCGATTTTGTGAATATAACAGCGGCAGCACGCAGGACGCAGCTGGAGTATTTGAGCCATTACTGCTGCGTCCTCTCTGCTCATAGAATGCCCGCAAAGCTGAGTCCATAAATGACGTCATATATGTGGATACTGGATGTTTATTCAGGTTTTCCGCAATTAGAATTTTTAGGAAACCCAGATCTTGATTCTGGGTTGAAAAATGCATTGTAATTACCGTGTTACTGACAATTGTACTGAGTAAATATTACCATTTTCTTTCCCTGTAATGCCTTACATCACCACATTACAGCAAAAAGCAATGCATTACAGTAATTAATTACTTTTGTACAGTGTTACTCCCAACACTGAATTCAATGCAGGTCAACAAGTTAGCATTTGAGCTACGTTAGTGTGCTAAACTTGTTGTGCTTCACCCTGAAGTGAATGCTTAACTGTGCTGTGGCTTTACTGGACACAAGATTTGGTTTGATAAAGAAATAAAAAAAAACCTGTACATTTTCTCAATTTTGCAGTAAAAAGCAAATGTCAGTCTAGCCTAATGTCAAAGTATTTATTTTGAAAAAAACAAAAACCCCACCACCACCATGCAGACAGATGTGACAGGACAGAATAAAACACACACAGAAGGACAAAGGGCTGTGAGAGAGGACTGTGGTGGTGTGATTATTTGGTGGACAGGGCCGAGCAGCTCTTACATTACAGAGGGAGTGAGTCCGATGTCGGGGCGAGTTGATGTCACTCGGCGTGGATGAGCGGTCCCCATCGGCCGCTGAGGCGTCAGAGATGACAGAGGGCTGGCGAGTGTGGCAGGGACTGATCCTGACCACAGCTGAACACACATGTTCACACACATTGAATATTCCCCACCGTTAGTACAAGAAAGCACCAGGACACCCGGCGTTAGTGAGCTGAGGCTGATAAAGCAACACAAATAGGAGGTGAGAAGCAGAGCGGAGAAGGCCTACCCTGTCTGTCCATGGTGTGTCCGTGGTAGAGGGTCTGTTGGCTCTGGCGGATGGCGGCCGTGAGCGGCAGTTCTGCATGCATCACCCACTCCTGACTCCCGTTCATCACCGGCTCCCCCGTCATGACCAGAGAATGGCGCTTGGGTACGTCTTTCGTCAGCGTGGCCAGAGACTGCTTCGCCTGGACAGGACAACACCATACAATCTTTTTACTTAAGTGACCGTGTGACGTAGATTTGTAAGGATTTTCTAATCCGTTTCACCGTCTATTTTCTATCCGAAGCTAATGCAGGAGATAGGTGTAGGAGACTATTTCCATGTTAAGCCTGCATGAAAAACAGAGTGGCCGATTAAAATCAGGAATAAGATTTAAGGTGTTCCACACCTATAAGAAAGGTATACATCACTTTGGTGGGTAAAAGAGAGATATCAGACCTCAGGCAGGCAGAATAGTTTGATTCAGCTTTAGCAATGACGTGGAAACAAACGTGATCCGTGATCATTTTTTTAATTGTGGGTGGTTGTGACTTGCAGAGTGAGGAGAGATTACTGACATGCCGACTGTGTCACGTTATGGGAGGGATGTTGGAAACCAAATTGCATAAACCCAGGATGACACGAGGCAGGAGAAGATGAAAAATAAATCCCTTATTTTAAGGTGAACCAAAAACCATGTAAATCCAAAGGGGTGGAGCCAAAATCCAAAAACGTTCATAATCCAAAAACTAGTGATCCAAAACTGAGACACAAGAAGTACAAGTAAAACTAGAGATGAGGAACTAGAGACTGACAGAATACTCACACTGACAGCAAACAATGGACCGACAAGAACAATGAGACAAGGAGGGCTTATATAGACAGGGAGGAGTAATTAGGGAAACAGGAAGCAGGTGTGTGGAGTGAGGCTGGAGGGAAGGCAGGTGACAGCAATTATCTGGATGGGGAAGAGAACCAGTGGAGGGCCGATAAACCTAACACTATATAAAACACAAAACTAAACCTAAAGACTAAGGGAAGAACTCACACAAACACATACACATACTGACACACACAAACTCATACACACATACAATGAACTGGGGAACAAGAGGCTGGGGCTGCAACTTAAGACACACAACAGAGATGCAGACAAAGGACACATGAGGGCGCTAGGAGAACACAAAAGGGAATCCAGAGTGGGAACTGGAGGGGCTGGGGAACAAAGGGACACAGAACATGACAGACTGACAGCTGCACCCAGGAGGAGTCGCCATGCTGCCATGCTTTCAAATAGAAACAAAATTCTTCCAAAAGGAAGACATTTAAGAAAATAAATGCATCACTGTTACTGCATGTGCTGAAACGAGTGCAGAACCCAAACAGGCTTCTCCATTCCCATCACAAGTAATGTTGATGTTCAGGTGACTGCATGAATTTAGTTATCAGAGTGGTGGCCGTGTTGAGCCCGACTCACCATGGTGAGCTCGGCCTCCAGCTCTTTGATCCTGTTCTCCTTTGTGTCGATCTGTGAGCGCAGGATGTTGGACTGCTCTGTGGCTTCTTTGGTTTGCCTCCTCAGGTCCCACTTCTCCCTTTCAAGCACGTCCTTCTCCTTCGCCAGGGCTTTCACTGCATCCTCGCTCTCCTGCAGGGACCACATGCAGAGGACTAGCTAATTAACTCACTTTGAATAATCAGAAGAGCTTCAAGTATTGGTAAATACAATATAACTGACAACAGTAAAATAAGGACATTTTTCAGAGGAAAATTTGCCAAGATGGCAGAAGTCATCTTTTTTGGACTTCACAAACAAAAACAATAACTACATGTGACAAAATGTCTAAATTATAATGGAGTTCTTCTAAAAGCATGAGCGTGCAGGTTGGTGTTACCTTTCTGTGTTGGTCATAGTTGCGTATGAACTCTCGAAGCTGCTCCTCTCTGTTCTCCAGTGTCACGTACAGCTGCTGCATCTGACTCACCAACTCTGACTTCTCCACTTTTAGACGCTTTCGATCAGCTTTCATGGCTGCCACACACAGATGATCACGTTCACACACACACAGATTTGCAAATCTTCACATTTTAAAAGACTATTTCAAATCAAAGCAACAAAATACTGCAGGAAAACCTCTAGGTTTGACATTAGGATGTTAACTTGCAAGAGGCAGCCACTAGATGGCACTCTATATTCTTCTGAAGACGGCGCCAGCTGCAACTTTTTTATCACCAAACTCACAAATGTCTCAGAAAAATGAGGTAATCATCGGAAAACACAAGTGGCACAGCAGGATGTCCATTCATCTGTAAAATCAATCAAAGATACTTTATTAAAACTATTTTCATTTGGCATGTGGAGGCCCATCCTCAGGAAGATCAGATCTGTTTCAATCTCAGCAGAAATGATGCAACTGGTGGGACTCTGCAGGCAGGAAACCAGTAACAAATTCCTCCTGAGAGCTTGTGCATGGCTGAGGCAAGACTCGGCCCTGTAGTTTCCTTACATGTGTCACTGCAGGTGCATTCCACCCGTCAGAGATCACCTGCGCCATATTTTACTATGAACCCTCAAACCTGTTTTGCAGAATCTGTTTGACAGTTAACAGGTGTGGGGGGAAAAGCAGCACCAAACAATTAATTCATCTTTTTTTTTATTGTTGGGTTAAGAAATTATCTGACGTTTATTTTTAATATCATCTATAAAATCCCAACAGAGATAAAACGAGACCAGAGGGGAATGAAAAGGAAAAATTTGAGCTGGCTGCTTGCACACCCTAAACTTCAAAACTATGAAAACTTTATTGTTTGCGAGTAAAGCTTCATGATTTATCTGAGGTTCAGCCAAAGAATTCTTGGCCGCTCATCAACAGCAACACCCATCTCTAAGAAAGAATTAGGTTTGAACAAGAGTGCATTCAGAGATTTCATCAGGTGAACAACCAAACACATAAAACTCTTCGTGACATTTAGGCATTCACAGTTATTATACATGATTCACAGCTTCTGTTTATAAAAACCAGTGAAGCAGACAGAGCTCATGTTTGTCAGAGTCGAACAACAAACCAAAATTTTTTCAAACACTGCTGCTAACATTTTAAACAACGAATCAAATTTGAACAAATGAAAAGAAAAGAGCTGAAACTGCAGTTTGATGGATGCTAAATTATGGAAGCCCACTTCCGCCACTCAGATAAAAAACAAATACAAAATTATCTCATAATTACAACATAGCTGTCTCATAATTATGAGACAGCTATGTTGTAATTATGATATAGTAAAGTATGTAATCAGAGTGGCAGGAATAGGCTTCCATACTAAACTAAAAAGTAAGTGCAAGAACCTTTCTAAGTAAAATTAGATTTAACCAGAAGAAAAAAACAAATGAAGAGTTTATTTAGAAAAGCAGACAGCTCAGTTTTTTTTAAACTAGAAAATTCTCTGTTTTATTGTTTATTTCAGCTGGTATATATAAGTCAGAATATGGTTGCAATTGTACCTTTCTTAAATATCTTTTTTTATATTTTAAATAATTGTTCTTTTGTAATTATTTCATAATCATTTAACCTTTTAGTTTTATTTAAAATGGGCCATATTAACTCACTGCCAGTTTAACCCACACTACATGGCAGCAACGCTGTAACACTCCCTCTGGACCAATGAGGCATATACTAATTCATGTTTATATTCTCAGCTAAAAGCAGCCTATCAGGGGATGGGTGGGCGTGGCCAGTTCCAGTTTGTTTTGTTAAAGTGACAGAGCCCTGAAATGGCTCATTCTGGAAGGTACCGAAAATGTCAAGAATAAAACTGCTGAAATCACTTTATGTGAGAGGGATTTAGTGCAAAGAACTTCATAAACACGTTTTGTACAAAGAAAAAAAAACTGTTCGTTAGGAACTTCGTTCGCAGATAGTGTCAGCACATCCCATAAAAGCAATATCAAACACACAAAAGGAATAATATTAAAATATTAAAAGGAATACACCCAAAAAATATATACGACTGATTAAAAGGAATACTAAAATACTTTTAACTTAGTTTGATCAACAGTTGCTTGGTACGACTGACCATGGAACTAAAATAACTTGTGAAAAAAGTCATATGTCATCCTTAACCAGTATTTATGATAAAAGTGATTTAACTTTAGTTTGAACACATTCTTGTATGCAGCTGAGGCAAATGCAGCCGGAAATAAACATCTTTGGAGGATTAAATGGGACAATAAGACGTCTCTGTCGGCTCCTGACCTTGTAAGGCCTCCTTGGCTCGGTCCAGCTCCTGCTCCTTGTCGCCCAGCTGCACACGGAGCTCAGTGGCAGACAGCAGATTGGCAGAACAGCCTCCCTGGCTCTCCTCCAGGTCCTTACTCAGCATGTCCTTCATCTGCCGCAACAGGTGGACCTCCTCTTGAAGCTGGACCACCTCCTCACGCAACAATACTGCAAGAAAAAAGAGCACATAGATTTACAGCTTTAAATGAGAGCAGGAGTCCAGAAAGAGGTTTAAAAATGAGAAAAAAAGAGGCAAATGATGTGAATTTAAAGCAGAAAATGGGATCATGCAAAACAGTTTAAAACCCAGATAAACAATCCCCAAAAAGCTCATATGTCAAATTAATAAAATATGTCCACAGGTGTTTAAAACCCACTCAAGTCTGGTCTGCAGTAATAGAAGTATGTAAAGTAGAGACCACAGTGTATTAAGACTTAACAAGAAGGCAGCTCAGGCTCAAGCTGAGCTGCTTGATGTTTGTGTTTTCAGACTCCTGTAGTTTTCCCCCCAATCCACCAGGGAACAAGTGGCAGAGCTTGAGGAGCGGGAAACTAAGGAGACGACGCATTCAAACGAAGAGTGATCTCATCGGCTTCAGCTCTCAAAGTCAGAGCACAGCAACAATAAAAATGGAGTTGCGTGAAAGAAAGCTCCAGTAGGAACGGTGACATAATGATTTATACTGGGAGCATACAGGTTTAGGGGCCATTCCACAACAAACACTTTTCAGCAGAGAAAAGAATGAAAGCTGCAGAGATGACTAAAACAAACACCTACTATATGTGCAGGGGCGCTCCCAGAAATTATTCATGGGGGAACCAGTGAAAACTTTAGGGTGGCACATCAAATTGGTCCTTGATGTAACTCCGGGAGTGGTGCGCTGCATTGCTCCACCATTCTCATTTTGAGATACTATCTCATTATTATGAGATAGCTAAGTCATAATTATGAGATTATATATATTTTTTATCTGAGTAGTGGGAATGGGCTTCCATTGAAGGGTGCTGACTTTTTTTCATCTTTTTCCAAATACAGGCCATTTTTAGCTATACTTGCCAGTATGATGTTTTCAACCATTTATTGGTAAACTTTTCAAAATATAAGGACTAATCTTTTCTTTTTTATTTATTTTTTGTTGAGCCAGTGTGATTGTGTGTGAGGTGAGCTGAGTAGTTGAACTAAAATGCTGCTTTGTAATGACCAAATTCAAAGATCTTTAGAGACAGTAAATATTTAAATAATCAATGAAACTAAAATATTAAAAAATGGAAACTGCTTCAGCTGGTTAGATAAATTACTGCTAACACCGGGAGTTGAACCAGCATCCGCAAAATGAAATGAGAGGCAGACGCTAGAATCACTGGACTACCAAGGACAACAAAATCATTTACATGCCTGAGACACTGTTGTACGTGTCTTGTCAGAGCGGGTGTGGGCGGAGCTTCACTAAAACAGATTGTTTAATTTCTAGGTTCAAATTCTGGCTGACAATAATAACTCATATTTAAGAAAAGACCTTTCAGTAGTGCCAACAGTAATATTTTATCAAATACTATGTCAATCTTCAATCTCAAAGGTTTAAAATAAAATGATCTGGCACCTTTAAGAAGTATGCCGCATGTATGATCTTTTTTATCGTGATCCGAGCTTTGAGTGGAGGAGTGGTGAGGCAGGACAAGCTATTAAGACCCTCTTCCTTCTCCTCAGCTGTGGCCTCTTCAATGAACCACAGCCTCAAGCCTCTCATTAGTGTGTTCCTGGTCAGGAACAGGTAAAGCATTTCCCACTGCATCACAGGGAAAAAAGTCCGCGCGCGCACGCACACGCACACGCACACGCACACACACACACACACACACACACACACACACACACACACACACACACACACACACACACACACACACACACAAACTGTAACGTCCAGCAATAGTCAGTTTGTAGGTACTGTTTGACCATTCAACATCTGGTCAAAAAGGAGACACAAGACTGCATGTGTCCCCTTTAAATCCGCCTGCCTTCATCCCACCAGCTGGAGCTCAGAGCCTGCAGCTCTGAACACAGATAGCAAAAAACAACAATAATGTTCTCTCCTCAAGGTCCAATCTTTCAGGACTCTTCATGCCTCCATATTTAAGGAACACTTGCAACCCGGATTTCCTAAATCAGATATGAACTTCTACAACTTATAAACTAGATAATCATTAAATAAATGTCAGTTTATTGCTACTTAAAATAACTATAATATAATGAAATGTTTCATGAATCTGTGCTCAATGATTGAAGTTGAAATGAATGTTATGTTATGATTACAGTGACAAGGTCATCACCATCTGCACTCGCACAAGGACAAAGTAAAGGTAAGTTAAACTCATGACACATAGATAGTCCTTTACCCAGATCAGAGCGTCCGGTATCAAAGAAGGCGTGTGTTTCTGAGACTCTTGGTAATATTCCTCAAACTTGTCAACCTCTGGTTGGCTACACAAATCATAACATGAGAACATTAAAACCAGATCACTCTGGTTTTTCCTCAGTTCTAGAGAAAGCTTCAGACTGGCCATCTGAAGCAAAACCCTCTTTAACCATCAAAGCTTTTGACACGTCGTCAAAACCTTTTTGCACCTGCGACGCTGATAAAGCAAACAATTCCTGCAGAACAAGCTGATATTGTTTAGACTCCTTCAGAGTCCCAGACGAGCGGTTCCATCCATCTGTCATGACCCGAGACATCTCTGGACTGAAGAGTCGGTGCCACGATACTCTACAGCCCTTTGGTGTCAGAGGTCAGCCGACCTCTCTGAACTTCGGATCCACCAAGAGGGACTCCGAAAACGGGTGAAGTAGACACACAGATAATGTCTGATGTGCTTTTGATAATAACCAACTTCATAGCTTAACGCAAACCAAATTCTTTTAAATCCAGAACTCAGCTCTCCCAGGTACAGAAGTTCTGACTAACATCGCATTCACACATAGGTTTCATACATCACATCTAGTTCCATCATCACAGTAAATGCTTAGTTAACTTGTCATGTTTTAATTGTTGGTAAAATAAATTCTTCCTTTTATAAACCTGACTCTTTTCTGAATCAAAACGAAGTGTGTACAATCCCCTAATAAATAAAGAATCCTACAATCTTCTGATTAAACACCGTAAAGACCAGGCAGAGTTGATATTCTATATTTAGATAGAGTATCACAGCTTATTGGTCATAAGTAGAGGTAATATATATATATTGAGCTCTTAAAGCACTCACTTTACCAAACCCTACAAAACACACACACACACACACACACACACACACACACACACACACACACACACACACACACACACACACACACACACACACACACACACACACACACACACACACACACACACACACACACAGCTGAGAGAGACTGTAGTAACTGTAAGCTCATGATTAGGCTGGAGAGAAAGTGGAGGAAGTGGAAAGGTGAAACGAGGGCCGAAGTGCTTAACAACACCATCAGTCATTCACCCATTCAAAGTCAAGTCAAAGTCATTTATTGTCATTTCTACCACATGTGCAAGACATACAGAGAAACGAAATTGTTAGTTACAACTAATAAATAGATGCATGCTTGCTTCACTTTTCTCTGATTGTCAGAACATGCAAACATCTGTATGCATGTGCTCATAGCTGCAGCAGCATGAAAAATATGTGAGGGTTTGAAAGAAAAAAAAACAAGTCCTGTCTTTCCTGCAAAAGAAATGAGAGTTGCTTGGTCTGGTTTAACGACTTTAACTTCCAGTTGTGAATGTTCCCCAAAACAACCGACTCTCCAAAAACCACGTCTCTGCATGTAAACAGCGCCATCCTAAAAGAGTCATATTTAACGTTGAAGTTTGATGGTTAAATGAAACAGTAGGGGGAATGCTCCATAACCAGGTTATAGGAAGTATGAGTCAAAGAGTTTTGATTTTTCTCTACAATGTTTTTCTTTTCCTTGTTACATACCCACTACACATATTTTTGATGCACACCTATAATTTGTTATAGCAGGTAGAGTTTCTCTCTCTCTCTCTCTCTCTCTCTCTCTCTCTCTCTCTGTGTGTGTGTGTGTGTGTGTGTGTGTGTGTGTGTGTGTGTGTTGAGGCTTTTGAGTCAACTGAAATGTCTGAGAGACTTTCTGCTGCAGAAGCAAATCAAAGTATTTCATTTGAATGGTAAATTGGTGGTAAATGCTTAATTCCTGCAGTTAATTAGGGAGATATGTTTCCATTTTAACAGCTTACTGTACCTCAAACTGACTATTTAGAAGGGACATTTTGCTCTTTTGACAGAAACTATAGAATTGACATCACTTTGCAGTCAGATGCAAAGTGATGCAAAGAGCATGCATGCATGCGTCTGTGTGCGAGTGTGCGTGCGTGTACATGCATGTGCACGTGTGTGGGCATGCATGTGTGTGTGCGCACATGCACGTGAGTGTGCGTGCGTGTGTGTGTGTGTGTGTGTGTGTGTGTGTGTGTCGGTGGATCTGTGTGTGTGTGTGTGTGTGTGTGTGTGTGTGTGTGTGTGTGTGTGTGTGTGTGCATGTGTCGGTGGATCTGTGTGCTTCCCTTTCCTCAGGTCGTGTTCTCTAGTGCTTTAAGCAGGCCATTGTTCAGCCTTTTCTCAAAAAGCCAAATCTTGACCAGGCTGCTCTCATATTTTAGGCCAGTTTCAAAACTGACTTTCCTATCTAAGGTTCTTGAAAAAGCTGTTTACTCTCAGCTCCATGACTACTTGTCCCTTAACAACATTTCAGAAAAATTTCAGTCAGGTTTTAAGCCCCGTCATAGCACTGAAAGTACTCTTTTAAGAGTTTTTAATGACCTTCTTTTAGTTGCTGATTCGGGCCAGTCAGCAGCTCTGGTTTTACTTGATCTGTCGGCTGCTTTTGACACCGTCGATCACGGCATTTTGTTGTCCCGCCTAGAAACATGCGTTGGCCTTCGAGATACTGTTCTCCAGTGGTTTAAATCCTACCATCACAAGGTGCCATTTTCTGTTAGTCTGGGTCCTTTTACCTCAAAACAGCACCTCTGACATGTGGTGCGCCTCAGGGCTCCATTTTGGGACCAGCACTTTTTTCTTTGTATATGCTCCTCTTAGGCTCTATTTTTGAGAAGTATAAAATTACTTTTCACTGT